ATACCACCTATACAGGACACTTGTTTGCAATGTCGCGCCTATAATTACTGAAATTTCAAGGAACTTGTCAAATTTCCTTGAACTGAAGTATCTTAATTTAATATATTATTTATGACACTACATATGTTAACCTTCAAGTTTTATGACAATAGCTAAAATACCATTCTCAACAATATTCGTAAATTAGTCATAGGCAACACATACTTCTAGCCTTTACCATGGTAAATGCATAAAATGACCTGGGCTTACATACTCGCATGTAAGTGCAGTAGGATCATAAATTACCTGTCTCAATCGCCATAAGAAACAATAATTTTGGATAGTTAGTTGAGAGTTTCATAGGACAGGTACTGAACCTGTCGAATTTGTATGTTTATTTGTTGTGTTGAGCAAAATACAAATTCGCATTATGCACTCTCATATTTATCAATATTATCTTTCAAAATATTATCTTTAAGAAAACACTTATATGCGCTAGTATATCCTTCATATATTAAGGCTGGTTGTTTTTTTTTTTGTAGAATATATTCACGCAGTTCAGTAAAAATGGTGCAGTTGTCAACATTCATTTTAATACTCAATGAAAATATAGAAACTAATTTTTAATTTCTTATCTGCAGATACGCAAATCGTTTAGTGCCAATATTTAAAAAATGTAAAATATATTAATAATAGCAAACTTGTGCAATAAATTATGTGAATAATTAAAAAACTCAACCAAAGGAAAAAGACTTAAGGACAAATAAGATTAAATTTTAAATTAAGATTAATTAGATGAAATTTGTTTGTAACGGTAAGTGTAGTTCAAAGTACATAAATATAAATCTAAAAATATCTAGTTAAAATTGTTAGAAAAAATAACTATATAAATTAATCTATATATTATATTGTGATTTTAATTACACCCAACGGATTTGAAGTTACACGGTTGAAAAAAAAAATTTTTTTGTAAAAAATTTTTAATCTAGTACAATCTTAAAATCACTGTCTTGTTTGACACTTGGCATTTTTTTTACACGGATTTCTGAGGAACGTACCTACTGATGTAAAAAAAGAGTTAGGTGTACTTAACTGAAATTATAACTTATACAATTGTATTTAAACAAATAGTGAGAGCAAAATTCGTCAAAGACTTGTGGATGTAACTGCACAAATAGATGTAGGTGGCAAATCTTTTCGCAAAAGATCGGTTTATTTAGTTCATGAAAGTGGACCTATTATGATAAACCTCAGGAGTAATTGCATTGAATAAACCGTCCTTAGGTTTTACAGAACTCTTGCTTATGTGTTATTGAACCGAGTCCACCCTCTTATCTTTATAATCTTATGTTTCGATTGTTTCTTTAAACACCGTTTTATTTAGATATACGGACCTATTCTGTGCACGGACCTATTCTGAAGGTAATAGGATTACACTCCCCATTTTTACTCTAATTTTTAACAGATTCCCAAATTTTTTTAAAGTTGACTATATAAGTTGTAAATTTTAATGCTTCTTTAGTCACTTACTGCAGTTAGATTCTTGAACAAGGTCAAGATATTTCAAACTATGAGATTCAAAGTTAAAACAGTTTATTCGCCTTTCTATTAAAATATCGGTTATAAATTTCTTTAATCTGTATTTAATGAGATTGTACTTCAATCACGTTCTCCAGTTATCTTAAGGCAGTAAATCTTGTTCTATTAACTTACTGTAGGTCCAGTCCAGTGAGAGGCATGCACTCAGTCATCTTAAACTCTGACATTTTATACAAATTTTTTATCTGCTCTCTTAGTATAAATACAAATTATATCACTAGTATCAAGTTAAGTTATTAATAATAATATATATATGAAAATAAATATATAGATATTCTTGTCAATATGACGAAACATATATTTTCTATTTGAATGGCACCTATTTTTACCTGAAAACCATTGCGATGCAGTGCCAAACAAAATATAGTAATATAAATATTGTTTGTACTGCTAGTATTATATTAATTTGATTATTACTAATACAATTCACATAAATGTATATACATACATATATTTATATGTTTATTCCTAAAAATAAGTCATTATGACGAAATCATTAATTTTTTAAATGAAAACAGTTTTCTGAAAACCTTTGAAGTGATCTACAAGTCTACCAGTTTAAAATTCGACTTCGTCGAAGGCGTCCATGATTTTATCTTTTGTGTGGATTATATTTCAGTTCTGCTTTTGTTATATTGTGAATATAACAAAAGCAGTATATATGTTTCTTTCTCAAGCTTGTCATATTCAATAAAATGTTATTCCTCATATGCTCTATAAGCATTTGTTGCTAATAGTTTTTGATCACGAGTTTTTGAGATCCATATAATAGTATCAATATGACTTAACTAAAAAACATTTTAAATATTATTAATTTGAACTAATAATATAAAATTTAAAATAATAATAATATAAATATTACAAAGAAATTTACAAAAGCGACAAGAAAATATACAAATTAAATTCTGACTATCTCAAACATAATATTTAATGATATTAGCTCATACTAAAACTTTTGAGCTCTTATATGACATTTCAAATGGCCTAAGTTGATCCTTAGGATTGCTAGTATAACCTAACCTAACCTTACAGAAAATGCTTTTTAACTATTTTATAAAATATAAAATTTTTATATTTATTGTATTATCTTGTGAAATAGCCGAAATATATTCAACTAATATGTGTGTTTGATAAAATTTATCTTTTTACTAACAATACTGAGTTCAGACATATAAAAAACATTAAAGAGACACTAGTTTCGGTTTTTTTTTTCAATTAAACTAAAACGTAGAAAAACTTTTTAAATTCAAATAAAAATTAATTGCAAGAAAAAGTAGAGGAGGAGTCCTTTTTACAAAATGAAACATTTATCAGAAGCCCTGCACTAATTGCACATAAATGCATTCGAGCATTACATGTGTTAATATGCGGTCTCAGCATACAGCGTCAAAGCCGCCACTTGCACTTCACATCAAGACGTCAAGTCTTCAAATTCCCACCTCAATAAAGTGACTTTTCAACTTGCGTCTGCGGTAACAGCTGTTTTAATAGCAATGCAGAGCTAGTAGGATACAGCATCCGTACACACTTCTGAGACAGTAAATAAAAATATTTATCTTAACGTCGTAATAAGTTTTTAAAAGGATACGTTAAGTATAAAATGCAAAGAATAAAATATGTTTTTATTTAACAGTAAATGAACTGAGTAAGGTGTATGCTTAACTTGGTTTATCCAAAAAAAGCAACTCAGAGCAACAGAAAAACTTTTTCAATTTAGTTTTACCAGACACTGTCAGATACCATGAATACCGTTTTGCGCTACTGCAAGATATCCAAAAAAATAAAATAAAATAATTCACACACGCATGCATAAGCACGCTGAATTAATTAGATTCCATCCACATACATATCCAGCCAAAAGAAGGCAGAACCACTTGGAACAGGAGCAGCAGTATCAAGTCAAACAAGACAAATAAAGCGCATACATCAGCTATTATCACACATCACGCTTGCTAGGATTTTTCTTTTGTTTTACTTACGAGAAAAATAGAAGACTACCAGCCGCATATCCTTAAGGATACACTTGTAGACACGTACCTGAGATTGTCAAATTTAAAATATCTTTTTTTTTTGTTGTATTTTATTTTTTTTTTGTGTGGAATTTTTTATGAAGAGGCAAATTTTTGCTAACGCATTAAAATGATATATGTCGAAACTCATTAACATATTATCACATATAGCATATGTCATGAATACTTTGATATGAGCAACTTGAGCAAGGCACGCGGATTGCCTTCAGCTCATAAGCCAAGTTGCAATAGGAAAGTCTTTAAGCTACAAAAAAGAAAATATATTAAAAGAGTAGAACTCATGTTTATCTTTTTCTTTATCTCTTTACAGGCATTACTTCAATTTAATTCAAAAACAAAGAGCAGAAGTGAAGAAGTGAAGAAGCTGAAACAAAAATATTAACACACAGAAAACGTACGCAATTTATGTAACTCATCACGTGGCATATGAATGTGTTACGCAGCTTTAAAGATTTTCACGTGATTTCTTTTGCAACGAGAATATTTAAATTTATTTATTACAATACGAGTTATTAGTGAATGAATCTGAATGCTAAAAGAATCGGAGGATATCATCAAAAGACGTAAACTGTCTCTGATGCATTCAACAGAACAGACTACTGCCACGGCCACACCACCGATAACACCGCCAACACCGCCACCACTCAAGATGATGACAACAGTTACTGCATCAGCAGCAGTTGCAAATGTATTAACTACCACCACACAGTCCACTTTCACGCCCAACTCAATGCCTGCCGCAATGCTTGCAAGTATGCCCAACACACCAAATACAGCGACAGCTCCAATACAGGATCACTACAGTCTGCGTTGGAATAATCATCAAAATCACATTTTACGTGCATTTGATGCACTTCTGCAAACAAAAACGCTTGTTGATGTAACACTCGTCTGTGCCGAGACCAGTATACGAGCCCACAAAATGGTGCTCTCGGCGTGTTCACCTTTCTTTCAGCGTGTATTTGCCGAAACACCGTGCAAACATCCCGTCATTGTACTTAAAGATTTTCGTGGTTGGGTTGTGCAGGCTATTGTTGACTTCATGTATCGCGGTGAGATAAGTGTACCACAAGAACGTTTACAAATGCTCATACAAGCTGGTGAATCCCTACAAGTACGTGGTCTCGTAGAGAGTTCAGTACCCGAACATACGCCCACACCTGCTGCATCTCCAGATGACTTCGGCATGCTAGATACTTCGCTGATGTCCTCAGAATTGGAACGTTGTTCAAGTTTTGATGATGAATCACCATCTATGGTGACGGCTGGTTCAAAAATTATTTTACCTTCTCGTCTCTTTAGTTCATCAGCACGAAGAGAACGTGAACGCAAGCGTGAACGCGAACGTGAAAGAGAGCGAGAGCAATTAGAGCGTGAAATTGAAAGTGATCAAGAACTACAACATGAATCAGGCATACATTCAGATCTGTGCACGTCACCTATGCCACGTAGGAAACAAGCACGTCCAAGACGCCGTTCTGGTGATCTACCACTTGATTTACCTGGCAAACCCGGCACACCAATACCTGGAGATGAAAATAATGAACTTATGTCGTTAGAAAAAATGAATGTGCATGCCAAGAGCTTAGAAAATCTCAAAACTGTGATCAAAAGTGAGTTAGCTGAAGCAATAGATGATGATAATGATATCGAAAGAGAAGACGACAGTGGCAATGGAAATGACAGCAACGAAAATGTTGGATCTCATGAAAAAACAAAATATATGAATGAAAAACAATGTAAAGAAATAAATTCAGTTGATGACACAAACCACGAGATAAATCGATCAATTGATATCGATGAAATTGCTGATGATGATGATGACGACGAACATGTGAACCATATACGTCATAACGATGAAAATGAACAACAAGCTGAACATGAAGATATTGAAGAACTTATTAAAAAATCCAATGAGCTACGACGAAAACCACAAACTGATCTTTCAGATCTACCTGAAGATCTGTGTACAACGAAAAAGGATAATGATTGTAGTGGCAATCATTCCGAAAATGAGACCGAATGCACTGCTGTAAATAATAACAACAATAGTAAATTGAATAACAACAATCGCATTGTGCTCTCCTTGAAAGATATACGACATTTGAACAAACCCAGCTCATCATCAACCCCCAACTCCAATAATAGTCTGAACCCTTTCGCAGCAACAAGCTTAAGGGACTTGCGACTTGATCGCAATGCAAATGCTGCTGAGAATCAATGTAAGCTTGATGCATTAGAGGCACAGATGCATGCAGCGGCAGCTGCTGCGGCTGCGGCTGCAGCTGTAAATAACGATAATCCGTTTCAACATATGGAGCATCAAATGGATCTATCCTTAGCTGCAGCGGCAGCGGCAGCAGCAGTTTCACATCAACACTCAAGAGAACGTGATCACGCCATGCAACGCGAACAACGTGAAATGCAACAGCAACATAATGCTTACGCCAACAGTTTACTGGGACAAATGGGTATGCCTGGTCTGCCACCATTTGGATCGAGTGGTGGTCCTGCACCGCACGAAAGACTGGAAGAAAGTATGAATCGGCTAAGTAAGGAATTTACACCGAGTTCGCCAATGAGCCTACCAACACACTTCAATCCACCTGATGGACCACCGCATCCTCCGTCACCGTTACCCTTTCCTGGTATGTCATCGGCGTTAGCGCTAACACCACCGCATAGTAAGTAAAGCATGAGTAGTTTTTTGATTTTAGTGTAAAAATTTTAATTTATTTATTTCTATGACATATATTTAACAACTTTTATTATATATATATTTAAATGTTTATCTAACTCCAGACAAACTTGAAATTTAAAGAATTATAATTCCTCATATACATATTGGAAATCAAATATTGTTCAAGGATGTACTTGGTTGATTTGTACTTTTGGTTTGAAAGCAAAAAAAAATTTATTTACAAAGTACATGAAAACTGTACAATTTTTGCAGTAAAATAAAAATATCACAAATGAATTCACAAAACATCAAGCAAAAAATACAAATAAAAGCACGGCAAACTGTTGCGAAAAACGGAAATCCTTAATAATCATATTCGTTGATGTATGCACACGTCACTTCCTGTGCGGTGCTTTACTTCTCAAAGGAAAAAATCAGATTTTTTTTACTGAATGCTGTGCAAATAATTTTTCTCCTCATTGATAAAGTTTTGAATTCTTACGCTTTGATGCATTTGCACTGTAGCTCGAAGGATCTAGGTACTCCTCGCTGCGTTGAGGCAATATAAACAAAAGCAACATGTTTGCTTTGACAGCGCGTTTGACATTCGCATTAGGGATTTTACACACTAACAACTTTAGTGGTCTGATGACGTGCAATTTCAAGTGACTTAAAAAGTCAACAACGGCACCGCCAATGCTTTTCTTTCCAGCACTCCAATCTATCTCTCCATGGATGTACTGCATTCTGTTTCGTGCAAAAGCAGTTAACTTGATTTTAATGCATGTTTTTTTCCAGTCAGGATGCAACACGTGTGTGCATGGAGTGCATGCAAGTGATAAGAGCACATAACATTTGTAAGCAAAATGCGGTTTCCATTGGTAGATTAACTTTTATTTTTATTGCCTGCTTCTTTTAGAGTTCAAAGACTACTTCTTTTTTTATTGGCCCATGAAAAGGAAGTGGTGGCAGAAGAAATTTTTTAAAGGAAGTGAAAAGAACGAATATAATCAGATTAGTTGAGAAGAACTGGTTAAAGTGTCTATAAGCGAAGCTAACGCAATTACTGAATATTCACTGATTGTTAGGTTAGTTGACACACTGAATACAATCCTAAAGCTTCAATATCTATTTAAAAGACCTTAAAAGGTAAACTTGTGCATACTGTATATGTATTAAGAACACTTGTTTATGCTGTAAGGATCTTATGTCCTTAAAGAAGTGAACTAACGATTATTATATATATACGTTATAAGGTCTTTAAAAGCTCAAGTTATGCTATTACAGATTTATAACCAAATCTCAAAACTCCAAAACCCGTTTAAAGGTCCTTCAAAGCTAAAGTTTGCATAAGATATATACGTTAGTAAGGTTTATCAGAATTTGCATGAAAAAATTTAAAAGATTTTCACTAATGTACACAATATTATTAATCAGAACAAGTGTAAAGATTATATTAGTCGCAATCTTAGTTAATGTAGCATTATTTAAAGTACTTTAGTAATTATGATATGGATAACATTTGAAATTAAATTTAATTCGCATTAGTAACTTTTCTATTACCAAGAAAGAACTCCAAAGTTTTATATAAGTTGGAGACCATAAAATATGCTGTTGCGGTCAAATAAAAATTCCTAAACTTTTGAAAGCTTCATTGTCATAAAAGAGTCAGAATCTTTCTTCTTATTTATAACATGACTATAGGTTCTGATTTATTCTCTAATGATTTTTATATATATCTATTGAATCACTTTATCAATTTAAAACTTCTAAATATAATTTTAAAAATCTCAGGTAAACATATGGATTCACATGAGGGTTTTGTTCCTAATTGTCGTTTTGCATTGAAAGCAACAACAATTGACAGCTAAAATTAAAAAGTAAAGTTAGCACACCACTTTACACAATACAACACAGACCACGTGTTCTTTCAGACAGCGGCAAAGAGTAGACTAACATGATAATGGATACATTTTACGATCACCATTGGACGTCAGATTTATAAAATATATATCTATGAATAATACAACTTTGCCTAACAAAATAAACTCCAATTATTTTTACAAATCTTCTTCACGTACATATAATATAAAAATTAGATTTTGGTACGCATAAGCTTTAAAAAACAAGGCAAGGTTAAGTAAAGCTGACACACCACGTCCACATAGCGTCCCAGTAAAACATTTTCCTCCGATTTTAAAGTAATTAGTTTGACCTCAGATTTATAAAAGAAATATCTGTGCATCGTATAATTTTACTATGAAAAAGGAACTTCAAATTTTTTTACAAATTTCGTAAAGATCAGCTAAAGATCAAAGTTTGAGGAGCCACACCTAGAATGTTTAAAACATTTATTGTTGTTTCAAAAAAAACTTTCTAGAGTTCCTGAAATTAGTAATTCTAATGTTGTATTTAATTATTGGATTAGTCCCCTTCATATATAGATAATATTTAACTGACTAACTCATATTGCTTCATAAGAGAAATAAATTGGAGGGTAAAGTTCAAAATCGCCACAAATGTTAAATCTAATTGTCTTTGTTTTATTATGCAAAGATTGCTGCACTGAACACTACATAACTAATTTTTATATATAATAAGCATTACGCTAACAAGTATTTTATAAATATAATTAATATTAAACGACTAAAAATAATCCATGACAATATGATGTTTAAAAATAAAATTTATTCTGTGTACATTTTGCTGAAGTCATTATTAGGAAATCAATGGGGAAAGGATACATTTCGTAACAGCAGTTATGTGTACGCGAATACCCTACAAACGGTTGCATACCATAAATCCTGTTATTTTCCGTCAATTCAAACAATACCAGTCATTATTCCATTAATGTTTTACGCTTGAAGTACACTTCTACACATGCTTAAGACACAAGTAAACGCTGATGATTGTTATTATCTCTTTCAAGACAGTGATGGAAATTATAAGAAATGTTATCTCATACAAAGAATCCTTCAAGTCCCAGCAGAAGCAGCTTTGCTGAACACGGAATGCTTCAACGGCATAAGTAAATATACAAATTGTAGAATATGTGTAGTTGTGACGTGAATGACAATGCATAATATTGATATCTTCCTGAGTGATTTCATAAGGTACTCATAAGGTAAATATAGATGCTTACGTATGTATAAAATAGCGCATAACTAACGGCAGTACCAGGTTCTCCTCTTTGCTACCAATACACTTGAATCTTGAATCTATTCAAGCGTTTTTATTCATCATGCATTCATTCGAATGCAAAACAAAAGCTTAGCAAAATCAAAAGAAATAAAAAAGGACTTAAGCTTGTTCAAGCTGAAGTTGATATACATATGAACATACGCACACTCAAGGAACTATTATGCGTCAGGACATGTTATAATGATAACCATTCATTCGCGAAATATAACGAAGACGCGTTCAATTTTTATGAATAATTCTTCGCTTTTGTAGAAAAATCTCAGTAATCCACAAAGCAAAGGACACGCACAGTGGCATAAGAAAGGAAATCTGAAAATAATATGAACGTACATATTTGTTAAAAATCTTTTTTGGTATGATGATATGACAAGGTGTTTCAGGATAACTTTAGAATATTGTTTTTTGGAACTAAAGAACTCATGATTCCTATATAGATTTGAATTAATTAAAATTAATTTAATTGTAATTTAAATAAGAGTCATACAAATTATTACAATATGACTTTTTACGGTACCATATAACCACCAAAATATTTTTTATAATAACACCGAACCTCAACAATCTGAAGTGCGTTTTAGCTTTCTACTTCATTATCCTTCATTCTTCTCAGCTTTTAAATGCACTTTTTTAGTTTCTGAGTCCAACAGCTAAAACTTTAGTTTCTAAGTCAAACAATTAACAATTTATGTAGGAGTTCTCTCTTTCTAGCTACTAGTTCTACATAGTTTGGAATCATTTTATGAATTCTGTTGTTTTTTGTTCTTCTAAAATAGCCAATCCATCTGAACCTCCAGACTTGATTATTCAAACATTTTACACACTTTTGATTAGCTCAAACTAGTTAGTATATTCTCTTTTCACGAACTTTTGGCAATCACCCTGTTTTGATGCGCTTGTTATTAAACACACTTCTGGTCCGTATATGATATCTGATCTTATAACCATTTTGCATATTTTTAGCTAATACATTAATGATAGATAGGAGATTAAATTTTAAAAATTTGTATATACTAAAAAGCGTTCCATACAAGCCATCCTGAATGCATTTCGATAGGAAGTGTCATATACTATAAGTACCCGAATGCGTTTCAACTTCTCCATTTCGTTGAAGTTGTAATTTTCTATTAGTATATTATATAAAATTCACAAACTGAGTAAAATAAAAGTATTGATCATTTACTCCATCACTGCTGGGCATTCCCCCAAAGGTGTCTACCCACTATAAGCTCTAACTTTATTAAATTATATTCAACAATGTTTAGTAAAGCCTTACCGATATTATAAAAGAACGTTTCTAAAATAGTGCTATTTTTATTCAAAATTATTTTAGCTAGCTAGCGTACTTTACAGCATAGGGCTCGAAAGATCTATTAAATGACCTAAACTCAACGAGACGGATTCAGTTTCAATTATTAGGGTTTTTAATTTGTGTTTATTAAGGTTTGGTTATCAGAAGAAAAACACTTTAGACAAATACTTTTTTGACAATTTAAGGGATTGTTCAACGGTAAGAATCAAAGATCTGTTAATTGACTTAAATTCAACCTGACGGATTCAGTTTATTAATTTTTACATTTTTATTCTGTGATTGATTAGGTGTGCTCATCAGAACAAACAGTTTTTAGAAAAGTGTCTCTTTGATAATTGGTATGACTGTTTATTGATAAGGATGAAATGATATAGATCCTAACTTCATAGATTTTTGGACAGTAAGCCGATAAATAAAGAAAGTGAAAAAGTATCTATTAACCTACAGCTATAACTAGCCAACCATCTATTCATAAAAGTTAGTTTATTTAGAGGAGTACTCT